CATCTTCCCTCTCCCCCTTGCATTTCACAACGCTCTTTGAGGTTAACATCCCGCAGGGTTATAGGACCGTTACTCTATATCCCCCGTGACAGCAGCTTCAAGTTGAGAGAAAATGGCTCGCTTGTAATACTTGTTGGCTTGAAGTAGAGATTCAGGTAACTTTTGAGGGACTAGAGAAGAAAAGAGGAAACAAACAAAGAAAAAAACTGGAAGTAGCCACAGAGATTTACTTGAAAAGAGGGAAAAGAAGTCACACAAGTCTCCTGTTTTCTTCTAATTAATAAGTCTTCTAATTAATTAAGCCTCATCCATGACTGCCCTGCTGGTAGTCATTAGCCACATAGAATCTCCTCCTTGCGGCTGGCTTTCTTACTGCTAAGTGTTCTTTGCTGTTTTTTACTCTAGAATGTGTCCTTTTATTTATGTAACATCTCTTCCATTTTAATGAAAATGTAGTTTTAAAAGAAACTCTTCCCTAGATTAAGATTTATCAAAAAGGGCCATATAAACTTGAACAAATCACTTACCCTTCTGAGTTTCAGGTTTACTTAGATGGGTTATTTCATTTTTGACTGACTATCTTGAGATGATATATATTATGTCAATCACATGTTAGGTTCTCAATAAATATCTTTTTTTTTTTCCTTCAAATGGAGTTTCCCTATATCGCCCAGGTTGGGCTTTAAACTCCTGGGTTTAAGTGATCTTCCTGCCTCAGCCTCCTATAAGAGTATACCTCTATGTCCAGTTCGATCAATAAATATCTTTTGAAAAACTACAGATACAATTTTACTGCTTAAAATACAAGACAAAGAGAAGGAAAGAAATTCACAAAATTCTCTTAAACTAATCAGACTTTTCTTGAGGAATATTGAAAAGACCCATTTTTATAATGCCATTGAGCTCAGAAACATGAATGACAGAATAAACAGTAGGCTTTATTATTATATAAGAACAGGTAACCGTTCCACACCTTCTCTGACTTAATTTCTTAGGTAATAGTACCTATGCATCTGGCATATACAAAACCCTATATAAATGTCTTTTTATTGTTATTATGGTAGTTTGAAAATTATAAATCCACTCAGGTCCCCCCAAATCTAATTCTTTCCCTAATCTTTCTCAATGCCATCACTCAATGTAAAATCATCACTGCGGCCAAAAGACAGGAAAGCAAAGAAGACGTGTGCTTAGCCAATTGCTTCGAGTCCTCCTGTATGGTTCTTCGTCTCAGGGCGCAGACTCAGAAAGGCAAAGCCCTCAGGAAACCAGCTAGAGATGCCTGTGAGAGGAAGGGGTGCTGATAAAAGGGGTTCTATCTTTCCTTGTACCACTATCTAGTGCCATTTGGGAGGGGTGTAGGGAGCATGGGGCTAGACAAAAAGGGAGTGTTTTCTACAAAGAATTTAAACAATTAAGCATAAACCCAAGAAGCGATCTGCTTTGCATAATCACTTGCTAGCAATGTCACCCTGAAATTCTCTTCAACTCTAGGACTGACCTCTTGGACTGCCTTCTCCCATCTCTTTACCACCACTGACAAAGGGGCAGGAAAGGGAATGATGGCAGGAAGATGCCAAGATGGGAAGTAAGAATAAAATCCCCTCCTCTGCCCTCCCCTAAATTCCTTTATTGTCTTTTTTCCTATTGATTTTTTTAAAATATGGAAACCTGTGTAAGTTTCCCATAGAATTTTGCACAGAGCTAGCGGGGCCTTATTAAAAGTCCTGTGCTAGGGCTGAGAGTGTAGCTCTGTACAGCTCAAACTACCAGTAGTGGCCTGGCATGCACAAAGCCCTGGGTTGATACTCAGATAAATCCTGTGATAAACTGTAGCGTCTATAGCTCAGGAAAAATCTCTAGTAAGGACAAGGAAAGTAATGAACAAGGGCTGGCCGATGGACACAGCGTGTGGGAAAAGCGCTGAACAATGGGAGCTCATGCAAAGGGTGATGGGCTGACATTCAGGCACAGTGTGGCCTCTGAAGGACAGGATGGCCATCGGAGTCACTCCTTTTCCCAGAAGGAGGGTGGACTTCACGGACCACAGAGTTCTCCACCAGAGCCAGCACTAAGGTGGGCCGAGCCCTGTAAACGAGCCCGTCTTTGCTCAACTCCAGAGAATGCATAAGTGCGCGTTCCACTGAACTGTCTTCAGTGACTGTTGCATACTTCCGGAAGCATGAAGTCACCCGTACACCGCTTAAGTGATGAGGAAAGATAACTCACAGAGGGAGTTATTTAATTCCCCTAAATGCCAGTGGGCAACTCCGGGTGATAATGACATCATGTCAATGGAGGCTCACTGATTATAACACTTTTACCACTCTGACGGAGGACAGAGGATGTTTGCTCTCATGGTTTATATCTAGATGACCCTCCAACAAACACCTCATGCACGCATGGGCAAGGCTTTGGAAGGTGACCGAATCCTGGGGGGCCTAGAGCTAAATGTGCTATTAGGAGGCGGGGCCTGCTTGGGAGAGGCGGGTCAGTGGGGGCGTGGCCTGGAAGGGTGAGCTTCCTTTCCAGCTTCCGTAGCTCTCTGCTTCCTGGCTGCCGGGCGGAGAGCAGCTCTGTCCACAGCAGGCCCTTCCCCTTGTGGCTGCCCTGAAGCCAGCCTACTGTGGACTGAGGCCTCTAAACAACACACACCAAAATAAACCTCTTCTCTAATTTGTTCGTGTTGGGTATTGAGTCCCAGCAACGAGGAAAGTGGCTAAGACATATGGGAATTTTCTGTACTTTCTGCTCGATTTTTCTGTGAACCTAAAACTATACTAAAGAGTAATATTTTTTAAACCCCATGGGAGAAAAAGGAGACCCATTGCCCTGTCATAAAGAGAATTCATTTCATTGGCATGATGCTTTAAATTTTAAATAGTGGTTTTAGTCTCTCACGTGATCCTATGAAACTAGAAGGGCAAGTGTCCTTGTTTCCATTTTCCTAGATGAGGAAATGGCAGCTCAGAGCCGGCATGACTTCTCTTAGTTTAAAGAACTAATGAGCATCCGCATCAGGGCTGAAAAGCCATCCTTCACCTCTAAGTCCAGTGACCAATGTGTTTTCCATCTGGATGCCCTACAGCTCCCAAGCTTTTTGACAAAAAAGCAAACCTTATTTTTGTTTCAGATTAGATATTCAAAGTAAATGTTTTGCTGATCATTAATGTAAGAAAGAAATGTAGGGCCGGGGATTTAGCTCAGTGGTTCCACTGCCTGCCTTGCAAGTGCAAGGACCCAAGTTCGATCCCCGGTACCAAAAGAAAAAAAAAAAAGAAATGTAAATGAAATTATGACAGAAAAGAAAGATTATCCAAACTATAAGGTGCTAATGCCCATGGCCCAAAGACCTGGGAGCGGCCTCTCTCGGCTCTGAGATGCTGGTGCTGACTTCACCGAGATGAAGGCTACGAAGCCCCAGCCAACACCCTGTGAATTAAAGTCAGACAGATCTGGGCTGCCAGAGGACTAGAACTGCTGCCTTGAAAGACAAAAATTTCACATAAAGTAGTTCTCCAAATAGGTAAAGGCCCTAAAATGTACCAATAAAAGAATTTAAGCAAAAAAAAAAAAAAAAAATAGGTTAAGGCTTTTTTGCCTTACAGGTAGAAACTTCTTAATATTCCCCCAAATCTGATTTGTCACCAGGCTTCACCACTACACGATTCTGTCAGGTTAAGTTCCCGTGGTAGCCAGGCATCTCAAAGGGCATGAGGCAGGTGTGTAAACACACTGACAGATGTGTCACACCACTGCAGGGTTCCCATCAAGGGCAAGCACCTATGTGTGGTGACCTGAATCCGCTGCTGGGGAGGCTTTAGTGGCTCATTTTCCGGTAAGGAAACATGGTAAACATGGGGAAAATACATCCTTGGTAATGTCCTTTGTCACACACTCTGTGGCATTTTCTTTGGCCTGCTTGTTAATGATCTGAAATCTCATTTAAACAGGGTAGAGTCTTTCTGAACCAGCGATGGATCTTAACATATAAATACTCAGAGAGGTGACACCAGCTTAACTCTACAATAAGATGCAGACTTTGGTATCAGACCCTGGTGTTGTGATGCATAGAGGGATATAGGATGGTGAAGTCTTAGGTGAGGTTTAGGAGGAAGAGGCAGAAAAAGAGTCCAAAAGCCAAGCACCTACTGGCCTCATTTGACTGCCTAATAATCAGGGTTCACTTGCAAATCTCTGGGCTAGGCAGCCCAATGACCTGGGGCTGCACTCTGGTGGCATGTAAGGTTCTGGGCACAAGGTCTCTCCTGGTGGTGGAGAGAGACAGAAGGAGGGTGGTGTTTATCTTGCTCTGAAGCTGGGTTCTGCTTATCCCAACAGCAGTGCAGAATTTCCACCACAGGCTCCTATTCTCTGGTCTCTGCTCATCCTCAGGTTGTTCCTGCCAATGACCAGGTGTCCCCAGGATCACAGCAGTGCTCTGCAGAGCAAATCCTCACCTTGCTAAATTATTGATCTCCTTTCCTTCAAGCCCTTCCCATGTCCCAGCCAAAACACCCGAAACCCAGGCGTGTCTATCCTCACAAAAGATAATACAATTTAAACAAGATCGGGAAGCGCAGCTAATTACACCAAAGCCCCAGTGTGCTGAAATGCTCTGTCAAGCAGAGCCACCTAGTGGTAGCATGGAGTATGTATTTTTAAATTTTCATTTAATTTCTCTTCTATAATAATCCAGGTGGGATTTTTAAAAATTTTTTTTAAAAACTCCTTTTACTCACTCTCATGTACAGTCACCCCCTTTGAGACTGTCATCTACATTTATTTTCTTTACCAAACATCTATCCAACATAAACAATCCTACAGTTTTGTATTTTCTGAAATTCCTACTTCATTTCGTCTACGCTACACACATACACCTCCATGAAAAGTGTCATGTCAAATTGATCAGTGCAGAGAATGCAAGGAGAAAGTGCCCCTCTGGCTCCCAACTGCCTCCCCTCCATCCCCATACAATCTGTGGAGGAAATTAGGAGTACCTTGGGTTGTGGTTTGATTCCTTTTCTTCCTTCAGAGTAGGCAAACATTCACAGTCAGCTAGAACACGATAAAAGCAAACTCACTGTTAGTCACTGAAATTCAATTTTCTAGTCACAAAGTAGACACCGCTGTCAAATTTCCCTGAACTGTGTACCCATGTTCATAGCAGCACAGTTCGTAATAGCTAAAACTTGGAAGCAGCCCAAATGCTCATCAACTGGAGACTGGATAAAGAAAATGTGGTTTTTTTATAAAATGGAGTACTACTCAGCCATAAAACATAAGAAATTAGAGACATTTATAGCTAAATGGATGCACATTGAGGCGATACTCTTAAGTGAAATAAACAGGACACACATGTGTAAATACTGAATAGTTTCTCTGGTGTGAGAAACTGAAAGTGTAAATAAGGACTAAAAGGTATAATAGGTAATGTGAAATAGGAAGAAAAGGAGCAAAGGGGAAGGGGAAGTGGGAGAGGTAGGAGAAAAGAAAGAAGGGAATGGAATTAATATGAGAAAATGAAAAAAGAGAACAAAGTCTCTGTAAATAGGGAGGAATGGAAGGGTTGAAGGGAGGGCAGGGAATGGGGATAAAATAAGAACCAAGAGAGTATGTAAAGGTGCAAATTTCCAATGATGAATGTCCTTATACTGTATACCTAAAATGTATCAATGAAAGGATATACAGTTAAAAAAAAATTTCCCTGACCTACGTGGTTACCTGGCCAGAAATGGCCCCACAAGGGAGTTCTGGGGGTTAAGAGACTAATGATGGCATGGCTCTTGAAATGGAAAAAGCACTAATAAGGCAGACAGGAGGCTTCCATTGCCTCTGCCCTGTTGGAAAGGGCGCCATTCATCACTGCTTGCTCATTCAGTCCCTCTGGAGCCTCAGTGTTGTCCTAAAAGCCGGAATCTGCATCATTCAGGCACTGGGATAAAACGGCTGTGCCTGGCCCTCAGGTGCCTGCAGAATGGTCTCAGTCAGACCACACAACAGAGAAGAGCAGGAAGGTGCAGAACAACCGCCTTCTTGAAGTCTGAAGCCGAGTTCTCTTCCCTTTCACCATCCTTTTTTTTTAAGGATAAAAAACAAAAACAATTCCACTGGAGCTCTCCACTATGTGGCAAAATCGCTGCCTGCCTCAGTTGTCAAATTGCGATATCTTTTGCCAGTTCTCTGGTTTTAGTGAGTATGAGAGGATCATGATTTTGTGTTATACAAAATCTCAGGCACAAAAGGAATATACCAAAATATTAAGAGAAATTGCCTCTGGGTGGTGGAATTTTTTTCTTCTATTTCTTTTTTGCATGTCCCAAATTCTACTAGAAACAATAAAATTCAACCATGAAATTAGAAAAATAAAATTCAACCACTAAATCAATGATCCTCCTTTAACCTCAAATGTTTTATCAAGCCCTCTCTCATCAATATGAAAAACTGTTGGAAGTCATGTTAGCAGAGTAGAAAGCTCATTCTCATAACAAAATTTCTGGGCTTGAGAAAGCTCCATTGTAGATTGATGAAATGATAAGACCCCAGGATATTTTTAGAAGATAAATGTTAAAAATAGAAACAATGTGGTAATGTAAACAGTGGATTTTATCAATTTAACCCGAGCATTAAACATAATTTATTGATTTTTAAAGAAAACCAATCATTGATTTAATGGAAATTAGGGAAAATATACTACAATTCATTCCAGGCATCCATTGGAAATTTTTATATGAGAATACTTATATTACCATCTATATCTGCCCAGTTCAATAGATCTACTACAAAAGAAATGATCTAGATTCATCCCGTCCAATGTAGTAGCCACTGGTTGGTTACTGAGCACTCAAAATGTGGCTACTAAAACTAAATTTTATTTTTATTTAATTAATTTAAATAGCCACACACAGCAAGCATCTATTGTATTAACATAGATCTATGTAAACTATATTTAATCAAGTTGTATATCTGTATCAAGATTAAAATTATAGATCTCTAAATTCTGCAGTGCTCTAAGATAGTGCTAGATGCTTTTTCCAGAAAATTTGGTCTCAGCTATCCTTGCTTGGAAGGGGCGGGGGGAGAGAAGAGAAAAGAAAAAAATGTTCTGCTTGACAAAGCTCATTTTAACAACTTGTACACAAATAAAAACAAGTGGCAAGATGATGCAATAAAGAAAGTGGGTATTTAAGGATGGGTCAGACCTAAATGTATCATTTGCACACACAGGACGGAATGTGGGCCTGGCCTCTACCCCGCTCTGGAATACCCTGAGGTATTTATAGGGTTGTCTCAACGTTCTATTGCTAGAGAGGAAAGCAAAAGCTTGAGGTTTCCACATACCATTTCTACTCATGCTGTTCATCCATTTATCAAGCTCTTCCATCTCTATCTCCATAACAGAAGGAGTGTCCTCCTCGAAAATAGGGCTAGGGAGAGACAGCAAAGCCTGTTGAAGAAAGGAGTGTATCTGTGCTGCATTTCAGCTGGGGAGTCTAGATTCATCGCTGAGGCTTGACTGAACTTGACTGAGCGTCTGACTCTGGGGAACCCTGGGGCCTTACCCTGTATTAGAGCATCAGACTCTAATGAGAAAAAGGCTAAACCCTAAAACACCCACAGCTATTGCTGATCTCCAAATTGCAAAGCCCAGAGGCCCAGAGAGCGGCTGAAAGGGGAAGCCAGGGGACTGCTCTCCCAAGGTGCAGCACAGTCTGCAAGGCCCTCTGGGGAGTTGAAGCTTGTTTTAACCTTGATCAATTTCACTTCTCTTTCCTTGGGGTTTTGATGAGTGTCCCACATCAAGAGGCCGCTGTCAATAACCTATTTTCACTGCCTCTCCCTCCAATTCCCAGGCTTTTCTACCTAGGAGAAATGGAGCTGTTACTTTCAGAAATCCACTGCCCTCCCTGTATGGGCTCCAAGCCCATACAGGACAGAAGCCCCTCCTTTGTGTAGGTTGGGGAAGGAAGGGCCACCAGCTGTGACCGGAAGTGTGGGTGGCACACTGGGTAGAGGAAGTGGCAGTTTCTAAATTAGGGACGCTGCTGGGAAGGGCAGGCATGGGGTGGCATCGCCCCAACAGTTTCTGGGTGAGATTCTCTCTCTTCCGGGAACACCAGCCTTCCCTGCTTGATGGAGTGTTTAATCAGCATAGATGAACCCACATCTTTGACCCAAACTCAGGATCTATATATTCAACTACCCTGCATTTGGCATTGGCAGTGGTCAGGAAAACTTTTCTGAGCAGGTGACAATGAAATAAAGCAGCTCGGGTCCCCTCGTCCAGTCCACAGAGACCACCTGATAAGGTTTGGAGACCCAGGTGCATCCTGTCCTCCCAGGAACAGAAGCAGGAGGACCCAGCTAGGGCATCAGAGCAGAAACACTAGCAAAGGCCCCTGCCCTCCCTTCTCCCAAACTGGAATAGGTGGGGACGACTTACACTTTGAGGTTGTCACCGCCCAGTTCACCTAAAAGAGAATAAACATAAAGATCATGTTGGCTTTGTCCATCTGCAACAACTTCTTATTTCAGCAACAGCTGACGTGTCCTTTACAAAACAAATGAAATAACTTTACTACGTTTTGAAGGGGGCAGTAATTAACCCCCAAGTCAAGCAAGCACAGACTGCCATATTGACATGAGGAGCTAATGGTGTGAAATCTGTTTTCTGTTAGATGTGGACACGTTAGAGAACATCCTCTTTAGATCAGATGCTTGCCCTTATTTTTTTTTACATCCACGTGAAGACGAAAGCAGTTGTAAAGGAAAGAAAAGAAGAGCTAAGCAAGAGGGTTTACTCCTTGGGCCCCCTCAACAAAACACCATGCTGTGCCACTGTCCCCTGACCTGGAGTAGGATGTGGGCTCCCCCATTGAGGGCTCCCCTTGGAGCTCCTCCTCTGTCCCCTTGAATGGCTGGGTCCCTCACATCCTGTCCTCAAGGAGGCCCTGCCCACTTCTACCCTAACAAGGCCTGTCTTCCCCATGGTTCCCTGCTCAGCACCTTGCTTGCTTCCTTCATAGCACTGGTCAGTTTGCCATGGGCCAATTCACATATTTGATTCTGGTTTTTCTGTCTCTCCCACTAGACTAAACCATAGCTCCCAAGGGGCAGGCTCATCTGTGTCTTGTTCACTTTGGCATCTCCCAGTCCCCATCCTGCTAGTATAGTGCCTGACAGATGCCTAGTAGATGTTTATTGAATGAATGAATAGGTCTTAATCTTGTTCGAGCAGCACTGGGGTTAAGTTCATGCCCACGCTTTTTAACATTATCACAATGGTAAAGCTTCCAGCAAACCTCCTTTTAGGTGCTGCTGGTTGGCTGAGAGTCAGGTAGCAGTTTACAAACTGGTTCTAATGCAGACAAGATTCCAAATGAACATGTGATAAGAGTCAGAACCCAAGGTCCTGGCTTAAGCTGTTTCACGTGGCAGAGGGACCAATGTACCCAGAGAAATGTGACTGTGATATCAAACAAGTGGATAGCACGGGCCTGCTGCACCTTTTATGCTGTGGGAAGCACTGAAAAGCAAACTGCTCTGCACCAGTCCACCAAACACCCAATGATCCCTGGCGGTGGCGGGCCTCCTTGGTTCCCACCAGGGAACCAGGACCAGCAGGCACCTGGAACGGAGCTGCTGGCAGCACAGCCTGCTGTCATTTCTGGCAGACTGGCAAGATGGAATGGCATCACCAGTCCAGGAAAGCTGGGCGCAGATGGGAGATTCATGCCATCACTTCCGGCCTCGAAGGGCCTGCAGGCTATGTCCTCTGTCCCCCCAGTAAGAATCTGAAGCTTTCTGCAGATGCCTGGCTCCTCAAAACTTAGATTGGCGAGACTATCTTCATCTTATATATTTTTACTTATACATTTTAAATCCAAAGTTTACAAGCTATTTCCTTAAGGGGCTTTACTATCAGTACAGCTCCTACAAGACTGAACCTCCCTACAGGTGTCCCATAAAGACCCCCACCTTTCGACACCCTCTCCTCCTCCCCTACCCCTTCACCGGCTTCATACTCCCCCACTCATTTCTCAGAGAGCAGGTGGCTTCCCAGCCCACTGTCTGGGCTATAGATTTATCTTTATAATCTGACTTTCCTGCAGGCCTGGAGGTGAACAAAAGCTAGCCTGCATTCAGATGATGGAAAAGTTTAAAAACCCATTACCAAAGTGCTCCAGATGCACCAAATGTGAAGCTCCTGTAATCAGTATTAAAGGAGAGCAAAAAGCCTTCTGTGGCCTCTTCTCCCTACTCCAGGGCCATTACCCCTGCCCCAGCCGCCATGGCAACAGAAAAACATCTGGGAGAGAGCACAAGAGCAGAGCATTAAGCCAGGAGGGAGACCAATTACTTGTCCTCAGCAATCAGGCCCCGGCCTCCGCTCCACCTGCCCTGTAGCTCTTTATTAATAGGCACTGACTCCTTTTGCAACCGGGAGGCAAATGCAGCTCTCGCACAGCCCCCTTCCCGCCTGATTCCATTTTGCCTCTTACAGCCCTTGTGTTTCTGTCCTCCTCCCCAGCCCCTGCGCCGCACGCACCCTCCTGGCCTGACAACACGCTGGGCTCTTCTCCACACAGCCCACGGTGGGATTGTCGGAGGGGGCGCTGGGGGCCGGGGAGCCCAGGAGGCTCTGGCTTCTTTCTCTTGTTTCCACACTGAGTAGTGAGCAAGAGACTTTCCCGGGAGATTTACTGAGCAAAGCCAACATCACGTAGCCACGGTCTGTTTAAGGCAATGGTTTCCTGCCAGCTGTTTTCACTGCAGCTCTCCGGCACCCAACACATGGAGACACTTAATAAATGTTAAATAGTAACAACTGCAAATGTAATGCCTGCGGGTCGAGGAAAAATGATAGCAGAACATAAAGTTACTGCACATAATGTTCCTTTTCCTGCACATAAACTGGACAGGCCCAAAGAAATAAGGTGATCTAGGCGTGAGAGGCTGTAGCTCAACCTACATGTGGGAGCACTAGGCTTCCATCCCCAGCACCCCCCAAAAAAGAAAAGAATAAAAGACTTTGCAACCAGAGGACGGGTCCTTTCTCAAAATATGGGTCTGGTCTTCCCCAGTTGTCAGATTTAAAGACTTGTTTTCTGGCTGTGGAAGACAAACCAGACTATCACAACGGGGAAGAAACGGCGAGCCTGTTCCTGTTTTCTAGGGATATTAAGTGTACGGGTACCCACGCCCTCTCACAAACATTGCTCTGCAACTTCTCAAGCAAAATGCTGCTCTGTCTGACCCATTGTGACAGTTTTGTTTTTCCTGAGGAAAAGAAGTACTTAAATTTCGCTGATTTATTCTGCTTTCATTGACTTGCATTATAATGTTAAATATGAACACCTGAGCATCAATAGGAAGGGGCTGCTGACCTTTCAGGATTCAGTTTGGGAAGCGATATCCATGTTTACGTAAAAGAAATGGCTAGCAAAAGAAAAAAATCAGATCAAAGCTCTCTATCAAAAACTTTTTCTGTTAAGTAATTGTCTTTGAAATTCTAATTTTTCTATATTGTATTTTCTTAAACTGAGGCCTATTTAAACTAAAATACAACATACCAGTTTGTAGTAAGGATAATGCACACGTTTTTAATCTCTGAGAGTAACAGGTGTTCTTTTTTTAAAAAAATCATAGCATTCTTTCATTAATTCATTTATTCAATAAACTTGTATCAAGCAGCTAGTATATGTTAGGCCAGGTATTATTTGGTAAAGAGATAATAAGTGAGCATTTGTAGTACTTATGCCAGGCACTATTTTTTCCAAGTTTTAGATAGATATATAGACAAAATAACATATATATATTTATTATATATATTTTTACTATATACACGGTAACTTGTTCTGTGCATAATTTGTTCTGCAAGTGTTCTGCAAGATGAGCAAACATTTCTAATAAATTTTAACTTGAAAAATGTGCAATATCTTGCAATACAAGCAATATGTGATGCTGAATGTCATATGATCACATATGAACCAATGGTTTCTCTCTCTCTCTCTCAATGTGGGATCATGAGTGATCTCTCAATAGTGAGAAGTTATGGAGGAGATCTCCTCATCTGCAAAGGAGGAGGAGAAAAAAGCAGAGGAATCCTTCATTTCAAATGAGGTTAGGGAGACATATAAAATGTGGGAAACAGTGTAAAATTCTATAGAAAAGTACCACCCAAATAAGGCTGCAGCAGTGAGAGTGATGGATCTGTTTAACCACAATGCAATGTCACATCTCCTCAAAATCCTCCAAAGAAGGCAAAAGCAAGTGTCACTGGAGAGGTTCCTTGTTAAAGTTTCACAAAAAGAAGAAGATTCCATTGAGGTAATGGAGAGCAGAGATTCCCTTGGTGATAGTGAAAGTCATCCTATGCAATAACCCTCCTCTCTCTTGTCTCTCTCATACCAGCCTCAAAGGTTTTCAAAGGTAAGTGCTGGTCAATTTGTTTGTCTTTCTTTTTGTATTATCTTTATTATTTTGTATTATATTATAAAATATTGTGATATATTTTTGTAATCATTTTATATGAATTTTTTGGGTTGTGGAATAATCATCTGAATTTCTTCTTTTCTTGTGAGAAAATTTGCTTTGATATACAAGTGCTTTGGATTATAAGCATGTTTCTGGAATGAACTGTGCTTCCATACCAAGGTTTTAATATACATATGTATATATACATATACATACACACACACACACACACACACACACACACACACACATATATATATGAGTCTCATGTTCTATGAGGTAGATATTGGATTTTCCCATTTATAGATGAGGAAACCAAGTCATAGAGGTCATAGAGCTAAGGAGCACAAAAACCAACCAACAGTGTGTATGGTTCCAGAGTCCACTCTGCCAAACAAGATGAGTAAGATACATTCTTGGTTCTTTTGGTCTTTACAGAGAACAAAATAAAATAGGAAAGAAAGACCAAAGAAGTCACCTATTTATGAGGACAGTTTGAGTGCTGTGAACCATGACTGTAAACAAAGCGGGGACAGCACAGAAAGAAGAGGTTGTGAGGAATTTTCCCCAAGGGATGATTACTCAAGACTTCATAAAAAACATGAGACCTGGTGCTGAAGAATGGGGTGGCGGTTTGCCAGGCAGATGAGAAGAAATCCCAGACAGAGGCAGCAGCTTTGCCCGGACGCAGAGGCATCTTTATGCTGAAGTCATGCTCTGAGGACAGCAAACACCCGCACTGTGGCCAGACATGTGGCCCTATCTGAGGACGAGGCCCATTTGTGCGCATCAATGGCTTCTGAACAGAGAGACTTCCACAATAAAGTGCAGAGGAAAACCCACTTCTGAATTTAAAATGTAAGGGCAGGACTGTTTGCCTGGACACCTCAACCTGCCCTTCCTTTGTCCCCTGACTCTGAGAGAACCAGTGATGCGACTGTGGCTGGGGCAGGACACTCTCACTTTCCCTTAGGGCAAAAAAAAGACTAGGGGAAAGAGGGAGAGGAGGAGGCGAGAGGAGGAGGAGCTCCACTGGAAGGCTGAGGCAGGAGCAGCATTTGAGCCCAGAACTTTGAGGCCACCGTGAACCACATACCAATACCCTGTCTCAACAAACAAACCAAAACCAAGAGCTACCAAAAAAAGAGAAAGAAAAAGCTCACTTCAGAACAAAGCAAAATATGCTGTCAGAGTGATCTTCTAACCTTGGGAATGTTTTTATCTGAATCGATGTTAGTAATCTCCATCTAGTTAGGAATTTCCATAAAAGCTGGCATGGTTGCATTGGGAACAAGAACATTGTTTCAGTCAGTCATTTTCCAGATTAAATTGGGAAGTGAGGGGGGTGGGAAAGAACAGCAACTGCGATAGAATTGCAGATGGCGGGGATGATCTCGAGGCCTCCAGCCTCCCATTCACAGCCCCACTCTGACCCACTGCTCCACCTGCCTGGCCCTTTCCTTGCAGAGTGGGAGATGAGATGCTGGCCTCTTAGCCAAGTTATGGTTTATTTCTGGATGTCCCCCCAAAGCCTCATGCACTCATTGGCGGCCCTTTTGGGAAGTGATTGGACGCTGGGGGCACTGTTCTCATAGGTGGATCTGTCCACTGATGAGCTGAGAGCTAAGTATGTTGTTAGGAGACGGGGCCTGGTAGGAAGAGCTGAGTCACTGGCGGTGTGGCTGGGAAGAGTTCATCTCCCTCTCTGGCTCCTCCCTTCTCTCTCTGCTTCCCGTCCACCATGCCTTGAGCAGCTCTCCTCTGCCAAGCCCCTCTGCCATGCTGCCTTCCCTTGGAGCTAGCCAACGATGGACTGAAATATGAGCCAAAATAAACCTCTCCTCCTTTAAGTTTTGGGTGTTGGGTATTGTGTCCCAGCAATGAGGAAAATGACTAAGAGAACGCTTCACTGGATTACTTACAAAGATGGCAGCAGTAAATTTTAAATTTCCGTATAGACCAAAACCAAATTTTCATATAGACCAAAAACATTCTTCAAAAAAAAGAGAATGTGGCATTATTAACTTCTGGAAATTTCACTGAAATATATCATTCATCACTTCATATTTTAGGGCCAGGGATTTAGCTCAGTGGTTTTGCCGCCTGCTGCACAAGCACAAGGACCCGAGTTCGACCCCCGGTACCAAAAAAAAAAAAACTTCATATTTTATATAGCTCTTTTTGCTTAATTTAAAAACATTACTTCCCTATCCCTTCCCCAATTCTAAGCAGATGTCAGGAAAATACTCACATGTTTGTAAAGCACTTTGAGATCCTTGGCTAGAAGTCTCTGTGTAAAAGAAAATGAATATTTTGTCTTATGATTGTTCATTAATACATAAAGCAATTTTCTGAAAGTGAGCATGCACTCAATATTTACCCTTTTTAGTTCTCTTTCTTCTATAGTATGTTGCAAGGAGTATCACAGATAAAAGCAGGAGGACCAATAAAATCAATGGGATCAACACCATTAATATAAACTCTAACTGATTTGTATCCTCGCCAAGGTGGGTAGAATTCGTATCTGCAGTAAATGCTTCTGGAGTCACTGAAATATATATACTTGATGTAGTCTCTTCATTAGCTTTGTTATCTTCCTGGAAACCACCTCCTGACAGTTCTGAGTCTTCACTATTACCTGTGGGAACACACACAAAAATGAGATTACCATGGAGACAAAGCTAGGACTCTATGGTCCCAGTGATTTTCAGATCTGTCCCAGATGCTTTCAGGGATAAACTTGATCCACTGTACTTGGCCTTGTGGTTCAGTGTGACATGGCGTATTGATTTAACATAAATGCAGCTAGAGCCGGGAGGATACTGAACATGGAATCAGAGCACAGGGACAAAGCTCCCCCAGAGTCAGGCAGGTCGGCCCTGACCACAGAATAAATTTAAATGTGTATTTACTGAAAGTGAAGTTTATGCCACATAACACATTTAGATATAAAGGAATGGGGTGAGGGTGTAGCTCAGTGGTAGAAGACTTACTTGGTCTTATGATTTGGATTTAAAATGTCCCCAATAGCTTCCTGTGTTTGGAGGTGCCTGAATGGGGGTTTGCTGTCCTCATTGGCTCCTTCACCTATTGGTGAGTTCATAGCTGAATGCACCATCAGGAGGCAGGGCCTGGCTGGAAGAGGGTCACTGGGGCATGACTTGGAAGTGTGCATTCTTGTCCCAGGTTCCTCCCCTCTCTCTCTGCTTTGAGGCTGCCGTGAGTTGAGCACCTTTTCTTCTACTATGCCTCTCTGCCATCCATTTCCTGCCTTGCAGCCAGCCAGCCGACTGTGGACTGAAACCGTGAGCCAAAATAAACCTCTCTTTTCTTTAAGTTGTGGGCATTGGGTATTGTGTCTCAGCAACAAAGCAAGTGACTAAGATACCTGCCCAGCAAGCACAAGACCTTGAGATTGATCTCCAGCCTCAAAACAAATTAATAAAACAAATGTAAAGGAATGCACTCTGTGTCCCTGTTTTGTTTTGTTTTTGTTTTTTGGTGCTAGGGATTGAACCCAGGGCCTCACTTGTGCTAGGCAAGCACTCTACCACTGAGCAACATCCCCACCCTGTGCATCATCATTTTTAATAAATGGAAAAGAATTCTTTGACCTCAGAGTGACTACTTAGGTTTCAGTGTCAAGTCTCACATTCTGAATAGCACTGAGTCGGCCTCTGAGATTATCTGACAAATTCTCCTGGATTCTAAATGAAAATATAATGCATATCTTATTGGCACAGTGAACTTTTCAAAGCAAGATTCCCTTGGAGAATAAGAAAGCTCCAGCAATATTTTTTAAAACGTACCTGTGGAACTGTCCATATTACCAAGATGTAAGTGAATTTATTCTGTTTGAACCTCAGATGGTCCAAACATCCATGGTGTGGCTCACTGCAGGATGGGAAAGAACCACCAGCTTGATACCCACTGGAAGAAACCCTCCCTCCCCTGGCTGAGCTGCAGTTATGTTGGGGTGGGGTGGGTGTCCTTGTCCTGTCACTGTGTAATGCAGGCTTCCATTCAGATGGGGCCCACTAAGACTCCCCGCATTTTTATCAGTAGTGCTGGAGCTTTCTTATTCTCCAAGAGAATCTTGCTGTGAAAAGTTACCAATACAATAATACATGCATTAAATGGCACCTACATTCTAGGCTACAGAAGACATCAAATGTGACAATGTAGGTGGAAGTGCTTCCTAAGCTGTAAGTGGTACAAGGTGAGTGGAGAAGCTGACTGCTTTTCACCACACTCTTTCAGCACAGGTTGGGCAGTGACTCTGCAGAGTCCGTCCGCCCCCCACACCCTGACCCCGGGCAGTGAACAGCTGAGTCCACATCTTATCCTCCTTTGTGGTTGTGAGACAGTGAACTCCTCCAATTTGGGTTAAAAAATAAAAACATCTGTTCAGCTACTGTGAGGGACTGAATGTTCATGCCCTCTCCCATTCGTATGTTAAGCTCTGATTCCCAAAGTGATGGTATTGGGTAGGAAGTGGGGCCTCTGGGCAAGGATTAGGCTTAGATGAGATGATGAAGATGGGAGCCCACGATGGAGTTGATTCTCTCAACAGATGAGAAAGAGACTAGAAACTGTCCCGGTGACATGAGGTTACAGCAAGGAGGGCTCTCACCAGACACGGAAACTGCTGGCACCTTGATTTTGAACTTCTGTTTCCAGAACTATAAGAAATGTGTGTGGCATTTGAGCCACACAAGCTGTGGTATTTGGTTATGGCAGCCAAGCCGACAAGACAGACACAATCTAATTATGCTGGTTATTACTGAGGGACACTTCTGTCTCCCACAGCACCAGGAGTCCATTCGATAATCACTCTGATAAATGCCACCCAGACCATCAGAAGCAATTACAAACCACGGAAAATAACTTACTGGAATTCTCCACTTGTAAAAGGTACGGTTGAAACATATGGCGAATGTTTTAAAGTTTAAGTTTATTACATTTAACGAATGTAAATATTTATTTACATTTCAGCAGTTTTTTAAAGTTTATTACATTAAGACACATTCCACTAATCCCCCTCAAAATCCTCCCTCTTGTTTTGAACACACTGATTGCATCATTTGAACTTTCTGAAGCAGTTCTCAAAGTCCTCCTTCCTGAGAGTGTTTAGTTGCTTTGTCAAGGCTACTTTGGTGTCCTGAATCAATTCAAATTCATTTTGACTTTGGGGAAAAGCTTCATGATGCCAGATCCAGTGAATAAGGTGGATGAGGACACTCGTCATTTTTTAATAAACCTGCTTTCCATTGGATGATACATGGTACAGCATTCACCACGTTTTCTTAATTCATACTCCATAAAGACGCTTGGCTTGGCTTTTAATCATTTCTCTGCATTTTACCTGGATTATCTCATTTCCTTCCCACTCTTTTTTTCAGATAGACACTGAGACAAGAAGGTCACCCAACTTGCCCAAGGTTACAGAAATCACCTGGAAAAGTAAAGATTTGGACCCAAGAAGCTTCCAGAACCTGAGCTGTTACCCTCACACTATTTCCCTCACAGGGAACAGTGTGGTCCCTGCAGATCATGAAGCTGGTGGTGAGGGAGTGAGGGGACCCCAGGAGATGTCCTAGGAGATGGCTTATTCCACGGGCCACAGTCAGGGGCAAGCGAGGAAATGGTTTCCAGAGACCTCAGCGTCCGTCTGGATGTTTGCGAAGGCAACTCCCAAGATGTATTCGAGTAAAGCCACCAGAAGGAGATCTTGTCTGCACGTCTCTAAGGAAAGTGGACCGAGTTCCCAGCTGAACACGGAGTCCCCACTTGACCCACAGCCCCAGGAAAAGAAAACAGGCAAGGAACTCAGCTAGCAGAAGTAGTGAGGGCATGTTGACAATGGGGAATGGAAGAGAAAAGAAAAGAAGTGTTCCCAGATGGTCCTGGATTGTGTACAGTTATTCTTCAGCACGAGACAATGCTGGTCACAGGTGGCCTGTGGTGGCCTTGTGCAGGAAAAAGGGCCGGAAATTCTCTCCATGATACACAGCCTTACACACGTTTTCTACATTAAGCATCATTTGCTCTCCAAGTTCTCTAGTAGCTATTTAAGTGAGACTCAAGGATATCCTCCCTCTCTCTCTCTCTCGTGCGTTTTTCCTCCTATCCTGCAAGCCTTTATTTCCAGAGACTCCTATGACAGCCTCCCTCATCATTACCCCCCCTCCCCAGTCAACTCCAACTCCATGAGAGCCTCAGAAGAATAAATAGCAGTAACTGGCTTTGATAGGATGCTTAACCATGTGCTTGACACTAGGATGAACACACATTACCTAATTTACTCCTCATAGAAACTTCATTTCTCCATTGTACAGATGAAGAAACTGGGTTTTAAGTGTCATTTGGGTTATGTTCTACACATATGAGTCAGGTGTGGTGCCATGTACCTGTAGTCTCAGCTACTTAGGAGGCTGAGGCAGGAGGACCACTTGAGTCCAGGAGTTTCAGACCAGCCTTGGCAACATTATGAGCCCTTACCTTGAAAGAAAGAAAGAAAGAAAGAAAGAAAGAAAGAAAGAAAGAAAGAAAGAAAGAAAGAGGAGAGAGGGGGGAGGGAGGGGGAGAGAGGGGGAGGGAGGAGAGAAGTTGTCCTGATACCATCCAGGGTTTCCAAGCTGCATTCCCTTCTAGCACTGGTGCCAAAGGACAGACAGGGGCTTTGCTAATACCTCTGTAACTTAGTAGTTTTGCAAATTTGGAAAAAAATCATTTATCCTTTATTGTTTAATGTTCCAATCTACATGGTTAAAGCGTGACTCCCAAGGCCCTGTGTATTTTCACATCTCTAGGCTGACTCCACAATATTTACCTTGTTTTAATTACAGTTTTCAAACAGGTGACATACAGTGCACATGGTGCTAAGCTCAGAGAGGAAGTTTCACTACCACCCTTTCCCTTACTCAATTTCCTTCCCCCGAGATAACCACTGTTTCTGCTGTGGAGCCCTATGCATACACACGCAAGCATTATTTCCTGGTTTGTTTGGGTTTTTTTAACATAAATGGTAGCAAAATTTAAAAACTGCTCTGCTTTTGCCCTGAAAATTTCATCCTAAAGATTATTCCATGAGTGTATACCAACAGTCGCCCTTCCCCTCAGCCCCACAACCTTTTCCTACTTATAGAACTTTAGATTGTTCCTATTATATTTGCAACCCTGCTGCAAGAAACATCCCTATCCATCCTTCAGTTCACACACAGCCAAGTCCAGGGTACCTCGTAAGTGGGGAGGAAGGGGAGACAGCGTTGGATGCGGGGAGGTAGCGGACAGCATCACAACACTCTTGGAAGTTCGACCTCAAAATTTCCCCAGACAAAACCCTCACTGCTTGTCCAGTGAGAGTCAGGGAAGACCTGGGTGTGCAGAGTCTGATGCCGAAAAGGAAAGTTGAAAACACTGGGGATCAGCCCCAAGAGTTGGTGCAAGAAGGAATCAAATGTCATCAAAGGGGGAGCTGGGAAGCTGAGTGGGCGGGCATAGAATCAAATCAGTAACCAAGTGCCAGAGGTGAAGAACTTCAGAGGTGGATACATCCAAGGTGGAACCCAAAGGAGGAGCTGGCAGTCACCCAAGCCAGGCAGGTGAGAGGAGCCAGGAGGAGGAAGCTCGGTAGGA